ATTATAACATGATATAAAACTAAAAAAAGTTGATTTTACATGATATTGCCTCTTTAAAATGCTACAAACAAGTTGTTTCTGCTTAAAGGCTCAGCTTCTGTTCAGTCGTTACATTTTCACCAAACATTTATTAGTAATTCATCAGGATTTATGGTTTTTATTCATTTCATTGTGACAAAAATAAAACTTCTTTTTGTTTAATATTTTGGTTTTATTAAGTAAAAAAATGTATTCTCTACAAACAAACTGCAGCTCAGACTGCAGATACAGAACTCTGCACTGGATCTGTGTTGCTTTTCTTCTCAATTTGATGCATTTAATGAAAAGATGAAAATCTAACACAAACAAATTCAGCACCTGCTGCTGAAGAGGTGAAAACCACTGAAAAATCTCATTATTTTAGAACAACTGTCGGCTGCTGTGTTTGTAAAATCCACAGCTGTTATCTGTGGCGGCCATTTATGGGTTCACCATAAAACACGTTATGGTTCATGAGATATTTTACTAACAGACAAATAGGGTTTTAAGCACTACGTGTGGAGCTGTTCCCATTTTTCATTATGAGCTTCCTACAGAATAATAAACATTTATGTGTTCTGCTAAAATCCTGCAGGTTTCATTCAGATCTGTCCAGATATTTTGCTGACAGACATGGAAAAATATCAAACCCAACGTGGAATATTTGATTATAATCTGAATTTTCTCAAATGAAGTGAACTAATCTGCCAGCGCAGTAAGAATAAGTTCAATCTAAGATTGTTAAACTTGTTTAGACGGACATTTTTTACAGTGTAAAATCATGATTTCCCACCTTTACCTGCAGCTAAAATATTACATTTCTTATCTCCTGCATAAAAAAGACAAAGTGCCGCAGACTGAGTGTGAAGAAACGGGTGAAAAATGTTTAAAAAGAAGAACTTCTGCTCTTTAAAGGGATTAAATATGAATAATCTGTTTGTTGGTGCAGAAACTTTAAGCCCGTGCAGTCGGGTCGCCGTCGAGCCTGAAAGCTGCGACCTGAACGTACCTGTGAGGATCCACAGAGAGCTGGTTCGGGTTCAGCCTCACAGAGAGCCTCGTTCTCCTCAGCCTGACATCTGTGGCTCACTGCTGCACGGCTTCACTGCAGCAAAAACACACAAAAACAACACGTCACTGTGGAAAACTGTTTTCTATTCTCTTTGGTTTGTTGGATTTCAGGCCTGATGGAAGCTTTAAAGGGGAAACGTCCTTCTGATGCACGGGCCCTGCAGCCTGCTGGGTGGGGGGGTCTGTGACAGCATCAGAGGTGCCTGAGCTCATTAAGAGGCAGGACCACACTCCAGTGCAGAGCAGGGAGAGGGGGAGAGGGGGGAGGCAGAACCCAGACTGAAATTTTTCACCTCAGTGTCACAAAGATGTCGATTCACCGCCGCCTGGAAAACAAACACTTCCAGATCTTTGCTTTGTGCTTTTAAACCTGCAAAAACAAAAACAAAAATCTTTTCATTGATTAAAATCAATAAAAAATATCTACAGATATTCAGAGGAGGCGCTGAAGCTCCCGGCCCGGCCCACGTTCTGGTCTGTGGCGCCATCTTCCCGTCTGAACGGCTCACTCCTCTGCTGCAGGTCAGATTTACTGACTGCAGGAACAGATCCTGATGGTTCGGTTTCATATGGAAACAAAATCTACGCGTTTATTCGTCAACTGTTAAAGACGACTCCATTTGTTTTTATTTAAAATGATCATATTTAGAACGAAAATGACCAAAAAAAGCTCAATATTTCAAAAAGTACAAAAGTCTGAGCCAGACGGTCCTGAAGGAGCTGAACGCTTTGATAAACGGTCGAAACAGAACAAAATGCTTCAGAACTTTCACACAATAAACATGGAAATGATACAACAGCAGAAGGATGGTGGTCTCTTCACTCAGCTTTGAAGGGAAAATTAAACAAAAAATAAAACATTCTGACATAAACAGTAAAAAAAGCAGAATTAACTGCATTTAAAGGGAACATACACAAAATCTACTTTGTCTGTTAAATACATTTTTGTTGTACTTGGAGTCTCTAAGATGCAGAAAAGTTGAATTTATTCTCTCCTGGTGCTGCAGAGATACTGTAGCTTTATATTCTGTTTGGGTTGGACCAGGGTGGGCAGTCCTGGTCCTGGAGGTCCGCAGCCCTGCATGTTTTACTTGCTTCTCTGCTCCAACACACCTGATATGAATGAACAGATGATTATCGGGCTTCTTGCATGGAGGACCGAAACTGACATAATTAGAAATAAAAGCATAAATACAAAAATGAACCACTAAATAAATACATTTAAAATGTACCAATTAAAATAAGGAAAACTTTTGTTTGAAATGACTTTAATATTTATTTTTCCAGGTTAGTTTCAATAAATTAGTCTATGTATTTTAACACATAATTTAAATTTTACCGTTTTTTAAAATACATTTTTTTGTTTTTCCTTTTAATTCTACATGCATTTGTGTCTCTTAAATGTTTATACTTAATTATTTTTATATTTTTCACCACAAGTCTTTTTTAATTT